TCCAGACAGCAGTTGGCTCGGAAAAATGGCATATTCTTTAACTTGGCCCAACATTTCCCTTTTATATTCAATATCTTCAAGAAGCAATATCCACAACCTTTCAGCAGTGAGCGTCCACATTCTTCTGAGGTGACAAACTCAACTGGCATTGGTGAAATGCCTGATATAAATTCCTTGAATGGCAAAACTGAAGATGCAGAGATTTTCTTCAACGAAATCCAAACACTATTGAGCAATAATGATGAAGAAATCAGCTCTCTAAGGTTCTCTTTTCCCCTTGCATGCTTCAATTTGACCATGGTTTAGTTTTGTAATTTAACACTACTAAAACTCTTGTTGCGAAACAGTATTGGTTCTGGTGAAAGCGAGGTAGAATTTTCTGAGGCTGACTCCTCTTCTTCCACTCATTCCTTCAATTCTGTAGGTAGAGTCTGAATGGTTTCTTATCTGGTTTTGAATCAATTTTCATATAGTGATTCTGATGTCACGCGAGCTAATTGTAATAACTGGTACAAATAAATTGTTAGCTGTAATGCCTATTTTAGCAGTCCAGTGATTACAATTAATATCAATCCTGGTTGCAATGCGTTACCCAGGAGTACCTATGTTTAAGAGGGAGCTTCTTAGTAGAGGAAATTTGTGGTCAGGTCATCTGAGTGAATGTGCCAAAGAAGAAGCTAACATTTCAGAGGAAACTATGTTGTTTGACAACGTGTGCATCCAGAAACTTCCTGTTGGTGTGAAACATTTTGAACAGTCGGCAGACAGTCTTCTTGCCTCGAACATTATACAGGAAGGGGAGAGAGTTGATGACAACAAAAAGACACAGCCTCGTGCCTTGTCAAGTGTGTCTTGGAGTAGATTTACAGATGCTGGTTTCCCTATAATATCAGATTACAACAATAATGCATCTGTAATTGAAAAAGGGAATTCCATCAGCAATTCAAAGAAGCAGGGGGATCTTTCCATTCGTGCTGCATCTATGTTGGTAAATTACATTTCTGGCCTAATCTTAATGTTTGTCCTTTCAACTTAATGGAAGAAACATTATCTTGACTGGAGTTCTGTTCCCTCTTATTGGAATCTGTCTAGAAGAACATGCAGAAATGTCTAAGTTTGAGGCATAAACACTTCACTGTTTCTATAAATCTTTTATCTTGGAATTGATACTCTGTGGACATTGTCTGCATGTCTAGACCCTTTCCTAGATAGACATACCTTCTTTTTTTCTTTTTCTTTTCTTTGAAACTAAAACTTCTTGAATACATCAAGTCTGAAAAGTATTCATGTAAAAAAATCTGGGAATTTCTTATATTGACATTAGTTTAAGAAAAACCCAATACTTGTAATGGCTTCTAATCAAAATTTATGGAAGTCAGGGATTATCTTATTGGTTAGTTGAGTTATGCTACTTCTTGTTTCCTTTGTAAGACACGCGGGGTCATCCATTTCTTATAATAATAATAATAATTTATGTGGATGTGTTTTATTATTCTGTTGTAAAAATATTTCTATCATGCTTTAATTATAAAATGATGCGTTGCTCATTAAGTAATAGGTCCTACATTTTGCATAACATTAAAGTAAACTTCTTAGATACACTAAAAAAAATATTTATGACTTCAAAGATATTTTTTTTTTTTTTTTTTTAAAATAAA